CCTGTGGATTGAGGTGCGTGGGAAAATGAAAACGATCTTTGTCCTCCTCATTCCGCTCCTAGTCGCCGCAGCCACCTCTTCCTCGCATCTTGTTACGGTTGTTCCGTTCTGTTTTATGTTTATTATTATTTTTTCCAGAACGAACAAATCATTTGACTGGGATTCTCTTCTCACTTATTCTCTGTCCATCTGTTTTTTTTTCGGTGCTTCGACCACGGTTTTCGTGTTCTGCTTGAATTTCTTACCTATTTTTGAATAGTCAGACCAATCCCATTTCACCTGTCTTGAGACTTTTCTTCATCCTTGCCGGCTTTTTGGTTGTCGGACAGTGGGATCATTTGTAATCTGGCTAGATCTTATTGACTTTTTGCTGAAACATCCATTTGAGTTCCACTATTTATTCGGGAGGAACCAAATGAGCATAATCACCCCAAAAAAGTCAGTGTCTTCCTTCTCGAGTTACGTCGATCTAACTGTATGAAATCACTGCGATTGATTATGCGAACTGTTCCAATAAACCACTATCGCCGCATTCCCCTGAGATTCCAGGTAACTTACGCCAAATGATAATCTTCTAGCTGACTGATATTCCATCATGCATAATAAACGGTAGATTTTTAGAAATTACCTGTCGACCCGAATTGCAGCGAGTTGAGTCCTGCTATCGGCGCATAGGGCACACTGCTGAGGAGTCTCAGCTAAGTCCATTTATCCCGTGCCGTTTTCAAGTTTTCAAAATAGTTTGACACTGTCTTTCAATGAGACAAGTGTTTTAGTCACATATCACATGTGAAAGTCACGCTCGGTATTGCCTATTTTAGTAACTTCTTGTTCTCTATTGATTTGTCTACTGCGACTCAACTATCGTCAGTGGTTGGTTGTTTTCTGAATCGCTGAGATCCCCAGTGATCACTCGTGCCGTTTTCCAGAAGTGGTGTGTGTGTGTGTGTGTTTGGTTGACAAAGGTCCCACTGTGCTTGCACACATTTGTTTGCTCAATCCAATCATTGGCGAAATTCATGACATGAAAACAAGCCTATTCTCGCCCATGGTACCGTCTGTATTGGGAGTTTACCAAGAACAGTAATGTGGACGAATTGCGAACGGACTGAAATTGTTTCCTACCGATTAGTAACACTGTAGCGTCCGTCGCCCACTATTGTCGTTCACCTGAAGGACCTAACTTGTTTTTACTCGGCACAGAGGATTTGAATCCGTATATTTCACCTTGAATTTTGTGTGGTGCTCATTGCACATTCCAGTTCATCCATTTCTTTTCTAACTTACCATATCGATGTATTGTGATCGATCGAACATCCCTCGTCTACCGACTGAATCCATGTTCCTCTCTCGACGTGATATGTCCACCCACCCACCCCCACAAACACAACCATCAAAACAATATTTGGTATTGCGCATACATTTAAGTGTTTACTTGTCTCCAAGCCCATTGTTCTGTTCTAGTATTTTTTGCAATCGACGTTCTTTGTCGAATTGCAGAATCGACTTCCACGTGATTTGCCACTGGATACTTAGGAAGATTTTTGTAACACGAACGGGGACTGCTGTAGTACACGTTGTGCAGTGACACGAAATCGTTCCATGCTTTCCCGTACGGACGCACTTGTAGTGTAGGTGATCAAGTGAGAAGTAGGAATTTTCAGAGGGAGGTTAGTGTTCTTGACGTCTTGTGTTATCCGTCTCGCGGTTGTTGGATGCAAATCGAAAGTTCTAGCAAATCATGTCTCCCTTGTTTGTTTTATTCCTACACATAACAATACCAAGAAAACTAAAAACACTAGTAATGTTTTGCTTCCTCGAAGGAATCGGCCGGTGGTAACGTCGCCAAATTATCACCCGGGGATGTGTTCGAATCCCACCACCACCGCCTGCCTTTCCCCTTTGTGTGTTGAATAGCATCTCTTTGATTGGCCGTTTCCCCCTTCCTGAAAATTGTATCTTTGTATAATCAATAAAAGGAAGTAAAATGGGAAACAACTGAAAAGAAGGGAAAAGCGATCGACCAAAGGAAGGACTAGCATAGGAAACAAAGAAGTGGATAATTAAGCGTCTGTGGCGGTGGGGTTCAAATTCGAGATCCTCCCGTGTCAATTCAGTGTGTCATAACAAGCGCACGGTAGATGATCACTTTTTTTGCTGTTGGTCGATGCACTTGGTAACATTGATTTTAGTTTTGTTCCGAGGAAGTTTCACTCACCAGGAGTTGCGATACGCCACTTATTCCTGATTTTTGAGTTAGCTCTAAATTCTGGAGCGCACCTATAGTGATCCATGTTAGACTGTCATTGGCCTGCCGCTAAAACAATCGAATGACTATTCCTCATCAAAGTTCTTTCACTTGTCGGTAATTATCCCCCACACTTGTAGATGAAGAACACCTCGTTATTTGGCCCGATTATAAACTAACGCGTAGTACAGCGCGTTTAGGATACCTTCTTTCAAGTTTTCCGATACCAATACCGAAAAAGGGCTAATACCATGACGTGTCAGCTTTTCGTTCCATATCTTCGGTCGCTGACGTAAAACTGCTTACCGTTACATAACTGCGGTTAGTCGTTTGTCGCAGATATTGGAGCGTTACTAAATCAATAGAGCGCCGGAATTTATACCCCCGAAGTTGTTTACGCAATCACTACTCACCATGTGGTTGACTTTTCACTTCTATTTTTGGTAACTTGTTTGCATGTGGAGCTTTATTTACCATGATTGTTTTCGTCATGGAATGATGAGGTTAAACGAAATGGTAACATCTCGTGGCGTTTGTTTTCTTTCTACCGCCATGTAACATGGGGTGGTCAGCATCTGGATTCATCTAACTTTTCCCTGTAGTTTTAAAAACTTGGATAGGTATGAACTGTATTCCATCGGGTTAGAAAAATCTGTGCTGCAGACACAACAAGAGGAAGGGTAATTCTCAAAGAACGTTACTAAATGATTCCGCGAAAATTACTAAATGATGATTACCCTCAACGATTCCTAGACACCCACAGTAGACAAGTCAAAAGGTCACCCAGCTCAAATAGGCAGTATAACGGTCATCTACATATAGCTAGTTTCTATAATTGACCACATTTTAACGGATGTATATGGACAGTTTAAATCAGCTCTAAACTGCACATTTCCAACTGCCTAATGACATCGTGCTGCAACACACGGAACCCGTATGAACAAACGTAGACACCGTTGGCAAACCATCACTATCTCACACACTATGTAATATTTCATGTGCAGTCGTGATGCATAGGTAAAGCAACCGTTCAACTATCACAACGAATGACCAAAGACTTTCCAAAGTAGTCGATGAGGTCGAAGATGCAACGGACAACCGATGGTCGGATGATCATCAAAAACGCGCAGTCATCTGTTACGAAACACCTTTGACCCCCTTTCGTCTTTCAAACCACACCTACGTAACCTCCGTGCGATTAGCGAAGCGTGTTAATTCAACTGCATTGCCAAAAAATTGTTTGATATAATCACTCCACTCGCCGTATAGTTGACCTTCCATTTCTGTTTTTGGCAATCTTTGTTTGTATATGCACTTTTGTTCACCACCGTCGATCAACCAAAGGTGTTGTATATATGTTGGCTTGTTTTACGGCAGAGATTTTGGAGAATAAACGAAACGTTCATATTAGGTATCATTTATCTTCTTTCGCTAATAATGCAATGGATAGAGGGGACACAATGTTTCACTTTCCCGGATGCAATCGAACTAAGCTCTGCGGATCTCGTA